TATAAAATGAAAGTACTGGTTTGCTGGATTGGCAAATGTAATTAGTCATCCATTGTGGCATGGTGGCCTTTTTAAAAAGATTTACTGTTTCAACCCTCAACTCTGTCTTGTAGGTATTTATCCTAGCTGTAATGTCTAGAGTTTTACTTGTGTGTGCATTGTCTACTAGTCAGAATGAGATGAGCTTCTTTTCTTTCTTCTTTTTTTTTTAATTTTTTTAAAAATTTTTTTGTAAGAATCTTGACAAATGAGGTACTGAAATAAAATTTCACTGTAAACTTTCAGTTCCTTTTTCTGTTCTTCTTTTATATGCCATGCCTCTTTAAGATGTAGGCAATAATTTCCTATCCTTTGTAGCTCTTAGCAATGTTTTTTTTTTTGTTTTTTGGTTTTTTTTACTATCCTTCCTATTTTCTCTTCTGCCCTCCATTTACACAAACTCATTAAATAAGTTGTTTGTTGTTTCCATATATCCTTTTTCCTTTAATGTCTTGTGAGTGTCAAATTCTCCAAGCCTTCTTTCCACGTTATGTGTTAAAATAAATTACAGCTGTCTCTTTCTGATTCTAACTATAAGTGTCTTTTTGTTTCATCCATGGTATTCTCAGCATTCTTCAGTAGAACCACATTTATATTCCTTCAAGTCTCATCTTTATCTGTTGAGAAATTGCCATATAGGAGGATTGATATTACATAGGAGTTCAGCACTCTTTTCTTTGTTTCTAATTAAATTTTCCTATTTCTTAATACTTTGCTTAGCTTTTGGAAGGTATTTTTCATTATTCCAATGCACCTTTGGATTTCACTGTCACATTTTCTGTCATCTTTTCTGTTACTTTCCTTTTTTTTTTATTTATCTTTTAGTTTTTTTATTCTTGCTTTTTATCCAAATACTCATAACATTTCTACATTCTATAACCATTATTATGTCAGTAATCTACATTAGAAATAAGATTGAACTTTGAATTCAAATTTCATATCCTTGAAAGCCTACCAAACATGGATAATGCATTACTGAATTAGCCACAGAGACCAACCAAAAAGCAAAGTTGTAATCTAGTCATTATAGCCACATTCTTTCTCTTCTGATTTCTCCACATCATAGCTTGTTTACTATTAACTAGACAGTCATAGAAGATTAAATGATCCTAAGAGATCAGAATCTAAGTTGAAGTATTATTATTCATTTTTAATTGATACTCAAATTATTTTAAACTAATCAAAAATGAATAATAATAAATGAATCTTTTATTTGACAGAACTGTAGACTTTAATCTGAATTAGGTGATTAAACCCAAACCTATATTGAATAAAAATAAAATTAGTTGCATGCAGACTTTTTTAAATTTGTGGATGATTGTGTTTCTCTCTGGAAACATATTTATATTTGCTTCTACTTTTTATCATGAGGTACAGATCAGAATTATTTCTAGTTATCTTCTAGCTGTTGTGTCCCTTCAGAATGTAGATGACCAGGGCTTTCCATAACTTCCTATTCTTTGCAGCTTTTAGCAATATTTACCTTTTCACTATCCCTCCTACTCCCAGCTGTAATGTTTTCTTTAGCCAAGAATTAGAAAGGCCATATTTAGAGAGAGTATTGAAGGAACAGAAGTCTAGGTTGATGAAAATAAGGAAGAAGTTTATTATTTACTCATACATAGAATAGATATACTTGAGTAAATCAAATACTATTCAAATCCTACTCTAATGTGGCTACTTGCCATATTTATAAGTAGGAGCCATCCATTATCACAGTAGCATGAAATACACTGAGACCTACATTCCTTTTCCTGCCACCCATTTGCACAAGCTCATTAGGTTGGTTGGTTGCTGTTTCCTTCTGTCCCTTTTGCATTCAATTTGTCCGATGCATATCAAATTTTTAACCCTTCTTTCCTCATTATGTATCCTAGAAAATTCAACTGTCAGAATCAATGAACTAACTTTGAATTCCACTTAAGACTACTCATATTCACTATAAACTGATTGCCTTGAGAAAGGTATGAATCCGTTTTCCCTGTACTCTGTTCTGTTACCAGATATCTTGATGAACTCTCTTCTTGTTGACTTACTATAATTGTTGATAGTGAAGAAGAGAGGAGGTAAGTGAGTACTTGGGAAAACCACTCCCCATAACTAGATTACATGCAAAAGCAATAGCAGTAAAATTATAATACCCGACTGTTAATCTTGATTGGGGCCAATAATCTAAATTTCATTGGATGTAAAGTTATATATAAATTCTGGCCCTTAAAATGTATATTTGAACTAGCTGGACCTGTGGAAATTCTATGTATAATCATCTCTCACATTTCTGTAAATACTGACAGGATAGGGACACTATATACAGGGCTGTGTTGAATGTTTCTCAGAGTGAACAGACTCCAAATTTCTGATATTTGGTCAGATCTTGAAGTGGGTTAGAACAAGAACTTTTCAGCACCTCATAATAATATGATTGAGGTGCTTTGCTTTGTGTGTCTATTGGGATTCAAGCTCACTCCAAATATTAAGTATGATCCATCACTAAAGGTGCTGGAAAAATGTTTGGTTCTTTATATCATTCCAGAAAGTATCTGACTCCATCTGCCTTGCTCTATCTTCAAAGTCAGATCAAACCCAACATGGAATATTGCTATCATATCTGGACTGGAGTTTCCCTCTCCCCTCTCTTCAGCCTTCAAATGCATTTACATGGTTTTGAGTTCAAATGCATTTACATGGTTTTGTAGCCAACTAATTATTTTCCATCCTGCAACACCATTCACACGGATAAAATATTGCTACTGCATCACTATTTTCATGGGAAATGCTTTGACAAACATTTCTTAGCTTCACCAGTTCAGACCTTTATAGCTAAGGTCTACCATACCATATACACAGGGGCAAACCAGCCTCATTCCCTTCATATTCCATTGGTAAGAAGGAAGTTGCATTCAGACATGTTCTTTCCAAGAGCCGCTGCTTTGTGGAGCATACTCCTGAAAGGATGCTTCCCTGACCACTACAATCTTAACTTCTTAAGTCCAGGGTCAATCATTATTTATACTACATATCCCCATAATCTACAATTCTTACATCTATAAAAAAAGCCACATTTAATTGCTCTCTACCTTGAGTGGCTCTTGGACCTTGTATTGGATAAACAATAATGTAAAAGAAAAAGGTAAAAGAATGCAAAATACTTTTCAGTACATCCTCATATGTATTTTAGAAGAGCACTTACTAAACTTATTTTGCAAACATTTCGATACTTATTGAATCAGCTAAACTTAATAAATAACTTTTTGTGGCACTTGAGGTTGATTCTTACTTGGCACACCAGAAAAATCCTTATATATATTAGACAAAGCAGATTCTTTTGCTCAACACAGAAAAAAAAAACTTTTTTAAGGCTAAGAGTTACTGGAAATGAAAAATTAATTTAATGTGAGAAAACAAAGATATTTGTAACTAGATTTATGATTGCCTTCAGCATCATAAACAAGATGAAATCTTTTCTGTGTTTAGTAGATTCAAAGGGAATTCATTATTATGAATTTCTGATAGTTGAACAAATTATTACAGTACAGTCTATAAGTGAGTGATTGTCTCTTGAATTGATCAATTGCAATACAAATACCATTTCCTAGGCAAGGAAATCAGTCTGTAATTTTACTATATGCTTACCTTTCCTTCCCATGTTGCAAATGCAATGCACCAAGCAGTAATGAATTTAGCAGATTTGTCAACTCTTCTAGCAATACTGGCAGACTCTCTGTTTTGAGTTCTTTGTTTCTCAGTTCATAACTAGTGTTCTGGTTAATTGTTAAGCTTTGGTCTTCTGTCAAGTCTGACAGTTTTTACAAGACTTTCCCTGTAAATAAATTGTTGAGTATTCTCCATGAAAAGAGCTGTCAAGTGGAAATACTTACCATTCAGTGAGCATGTGTATCGAAAATTGTTCACCATTTCAGACCCATGGTTCAGTTAATTTATTACAGAGTGTATAATGTTTGGAGTGAGACAAGATGCCACAATCCCAAATGACTGCCATTTATATTTGCCTACTGGTCCATTTAGCTGATGTTGGTATACTCTCTGGAATAGTTCCTCATGCAAGACAATACCCCTTGTCCTACTCCACACAGTGATAATATTATTCAATAACAGATTTATAAAGTTGGGGTTTATTTAGAAGTAAAATATTAGCCTGAAATAGGTTAATTGTTATTCTAAAATCACACCTCTACTGGAAATAACTGCAGTGAATTTGAAAAAAATGATGTTTTAGAGTTTAATATTTTGGAGCTGTTTTTTAAATCTTTCTATTTCTCTGATTTTCTTCTTTTTTTTTTTTTTTTCTTTTTGGTAAAATCTATGTTTTTCTGAAATTAGTGATCTAAATATCGAGATTTTAAGAATTTTAGATTGTTTGGTCTGAATTAGGATAAAAAGTTCTATTTGTAGTTTTTTCCTGAAGACCTGACAAAAACAGAAGCAAAAACTGAATTTTTTTTTTTTTAATTGTTGCAAATGCAATTTAGCTGAAAGATGGCTTAAGTTTGTATAAGAATTAAAAATAAAGTAACAATAAAATAAAATAAAAACTAAATGAGAGGTGGGGGAATACTTTAATGACTGAATACCGATGCTATGAATGTGTATGAAAGTATTTTCTCTGAAAAGTACTGTAAATTTTTGTATTGATCTAATAATTTTCACACAAGACACTAAAAAAACTAGAGAGAGTTAAACATGCTTTGTTGTACAAACACAGACATTAATGTTTATGTTTTGATGTTTCAGTTTCTTGGGCATAATTTTCAGATGTTATTATTTAACAAGATTAACAAGCATGAATTTTGCTAATTTCTATTTTCTTATTTTGTCATGTAACTAAGCTGGCAAATGGGACAAAAAATGCAAAACAAATATAATCCGGAATTAAGAAAGAATTGTTCTTGTCTGTTGTCCGAAGAATTAAGCATAAAATATTATTTTGCAACTTTTTTCAGTCATGATGGGAATTTTCTTTTCTGTTGTTCTTTGGCACTTATTTTATTCAATGACTTTTCTCTCTCTCTCTCTCTCTCTCTCTCACAGGTTGGATCATTAAGTTTATACCCTGACACAGCTCTTAGCTGAAGTTTTTCATCATTAAGGCACAAACATATGTATTTGTTATATAAATAATAATTGTAACATTGTATTTTGCCAAAAATAAATGGTTAGCCAGTGTTTTCCTAGAAGATAATGTTTTTAAGGCAAACGGTTCTTGTAAGTAAAGTGCTCAATATTAAGACACAGAGCATTAAAAATCAAACAAATAAAACTGTTGTAGTGTACTCCCACTAAAGAGTCTGTTAGACTCTTCTGCTTACTATAAGATTAGTAGGAGAGAAGGCTTCGGGGAACAGTGAATGGATTAAGCGCTGGTTCTTATGATACACTCACTAGTCATGTAATACTCTTCTGGTGTACTTACTGTTTAATATATGATATATCTGCAAACCTGGTTTTTGTTATTAATTAACCATTTACTTGGTCACAACAAAAAGTAATGTCTTATAAGAATTATATAACTGTAAATAAATTCAATTTGCTATCTAATTTCCTGATTGGATGGATACCATTTCTGCAAAATTCTGAGTAGGGAAGATAAGTTTGAACATTTTATTTGTTTACTATATATATATATATATATAAAGACATGTCTCATTAAATAATTTAGACAAGTTTTGTCTACTTATCCTTAATATGATCATCTCCTATTTACAGATGAGTTTCTTAGTATCTTTATTAAAGGAACAAGAAAACTACCATATATATCCATTTTATTCCAGAGCACTTTTGATATAAGCACAATGTCATCTTCAGGGTCTTGTTTTTGCTAAGACAAAATTGCTGTGTTCATCTGAAAATTAAATTTTTTACTTGTGAAGTGAAAAACGCTAAACTTCCGTAATGCACAATTTTTAAATTTTATGGTGTAAATATACATGTGCAATAATGTTAAGGGAGGTAACTAATTTATTGAGATGTCTATTTTTTTTTCAAAAACTATTTAAAGCTATTAATTATAACCTAGATATTTTAAATTATCTACTGTAAAGCTTTTAAAACATTTGTGTAGTATTCCTAATTAATTTTATTAAGGGTTTGTTTCAATTTTTTAATATAGATAGCTTCAAGAAGTGAGAACATATATGCTATCCTAATTTATCTTATTAATCACAGAATATACTTGTATTTGAATCTGATATGGTAAATGCTGAAGACCTAAAACTAGGTACCTCCAAAAACTTTTCTAAAAAAGAACATACCATGAACAAACTTGATAAAAACAACGTCTTATTATCAAAATGTTTACATTATTATTAAAAGGAAAGACCAAAATAAGTTTTGATTATTCTGTTAAAACTTTTAAACCTTTCTAGAAGGTTCACAATTTTAGTTAAAAATGTTGTTTTTCTTGCATCCATGAGTTTGCTAAAGACTAATATTGTAAATTTTAGCATCTTGGCTTTAAAAACACATCAGATAATCTAATTAAATTTTCATAACTAACTCTTAAATGAATGAAATTTATTTATTTTTAGAAAATTTTGGTAAAAATATTTTTTTTTATATTTGTTACCCCATTTACTTTATTTTATGAAATTTTCAGAAATTAAAATTTCAGCCTCTTCATATTTATATTAGTTAAAAGCAGGACTCTTGGAGAATTTAAATCATCAATTTGTTTTTGTCAAACAGAAACATCATTTACTGAAAATTTGTTCTGAATTGTAAAATAAAAAATGCAACAAAACTATGACATTATTTAATTAGAAAAGCTTTTAATTGCTTTTATAAATAAGATATTAAAGACACTATTGTTTTAAGAAAAAACATTTTTTTTTATGAATAATGAATTTTTACAAGAATTGTTTTCATTTTTTTAAATCTTAATTTAAAAAAAATTATTAAGTTTTAAATGTTTTAAAATTCTGTATTAATTTCAGCCTTTTAGATGATATTATTAAGTGAAAACTATATTTACTAATCATAAATGGAAAAGCTTAATACAAATCATCAAACACCAATATTTTAAAAAGAAATTTGAATCTTTTTTTGTATGTGTATAAGTGAGCTGATTTTGGTAAGTAAAGGCGACCATACATGACATTATCTGAAGATAAGTATGATAACTACAGTAAATTTAAAGCCAACATCTCTAAAATTCAATAAAACATTAGATTACAAAGAATATTTTCCTAAATTTTTAATATTACTTAGTAATTAAAAATTATATGAAAAAGGCGCTAACATCATTTTCTTCAATTATGTCTTACAGATAAAGTCTCTGTAGAACATTAAATCTGTCATCAGGCTGTCAACACCACTACTGTCAGGTTAAAAAATGCATTTTTGCGTTCTTTTAAGCTTAAAGTAAATAATATTTCTTTCAAATCAGATTAATTATACTTTAAATGAGCTAATATTCTTCAAATAAAGTTTCAGAAAAGTATATTTTATTTTTGGAAGATGTTTTAATAAAGAGAATTACATTGCAATGAAAGACAACTAAAATAGGGCACTAATCAGCTATTTTAGCAAAAATTAAAAAAAAAAAAACCCTTGTTCTGGTCAATTTAAATTAGTTTTTGAAACACAGCAAAATATTTTGCTTATTAGAAATATTAAATTTAATCTATTAGCTTGAAATTAAAACTAATATAAAAGCTTCAAGGAAGATTTTCCAATTTTAAAAATGAATTTTAAACTTTAAGTATCATGTTTTTTGTGTACATCCCTATTTAAAACTGTTTTTTGTTTGACTGCTTGCAAACATAAAAACTGATGTATTTTAAACATTTACAGCTTGAATGGATATGGGAATATTTTCTGCACAGCTTTCACAACTTTGCAATGTCCAAATTTTTCAGATAAATACAGAAAAAAATAAAATGTTTTAAATCTATGTCTGAAAAGATGAAAGCGAAATAGCCTGGTAAAGATGAAAGAAAAAAAGTCTTGTTTGACATATAGTTCCATAAGCTAAACTATAAATTCAGTAAATATTAATTTACTTTTATGAGTGGGGTGCTGAAAGTTTCTGCTGGATCAAGAATGATAAAAAAAAAACAACCTGATGTTTAGTCCTTTAGTTTGATTTTCAGTATGTTGAGCAGAGAACTTTTCAGCACCCCATTGTACATAGATCCTTCCATATGTATACATAAATATGATATTCACTATCAATGTTTGGAACAGTACCACTTGGTAGGAAATGGGGGTAGGAAGATTGTATTGAGACAACCTGTCTTAAACAAAAAGATTGAGTCCAGTGGCAAAAACAAAACTATCTCAGCCATTAAGTAGGCCTTATATATATATATATATATATATATATATAATGTATGTACATGGTTTAATGGGTAATTTAACGCCATTTTAGAATATTAATTTTGTGCATGCATGTTGTTTGTTTTTGATTTTGTCAAATGCACAGTATAGTAGGGTCACTTGAGAAAAAGTGTGCTACGATGCAATTCACTCTGCCAGAAATTTGGAAATGTCATGTTGTACTGCTTGGTATTCACACCAGAAGCTCCAATATGAACATTTCAGAGTGTTTGGGTGTCAATCTGAGGACAGTACAGAGGATTCGGAAAGAGTTGGATGAGTCTAATGGTGATTACAAAGGTAATGATAAGAAAAGAACTCCTGAATTTGTTGGTGAGGACCTTACACTCAACACAGAGGCCTACATCAAGTGCCTTGAGGAGGTAGTGCTGCACTGTGTCAAGAGGGTGGCTGCTAGAAGACCCTATGCCTGGCAACAGGACTCTGCACCATGCAGGAGAACCCAGTCATGGCTGTAAGACAATTTCTGCGACAACTTCACCCCTACCCTTGATTATTATGTGGGGGGGTGCAGTTGAGTGAGAAACCAACAAAACTCCTTGTAAAACCAAAGATGAACTGAATGTAAGGATTATGGCAACATTTACCAACTTAAACAAGGAGACCGTCCAGAAGAGTTGCAAGAGATTCCAAAGTCATCTGGAGGCCTTGATTGAAGCTAATGGCGATTTTATTGAATAAATTTACTCTTTAGTATTTCAAGATATTTTTATGTAAGTTTGGTAAATATATCAGTTAAAATGAGATGTCAATGTTATTTTCATTTTGTATAATTTAGATGACAATTTATCCATCGCACTTTGTGTGTGTGTGTGTGTGTGTGTATATATATATATATATATATATATATATATATATATATATATATATAAAAAGTTTATCATGTTGTTGACTGTTGTTACTTTCAGTGCAGTGTCCAGAGTTTCATAGAGAGACACTCAAGCAATCACTCCATCCACTTATCACAGGATATCAGCAATTGACTGTTTATTTTCTTGTTTTTCTTTTATATATGCACATTTCATTGGTGCAATGTTCTTCTTTCTTTCCTTTCATTATACTCTTTGGTGCGCAAATATACACGCCTTCATGTCTGTTCATATGTGTAGACTGTTGTGATATGTAGTGTGTGTGTATATATATATATATATATATATATATATATATATATATATATATAGCTGTATGATGACATAATGAGTTTATAATTCAGGCTGAGGCTGCTTTTATTCACTTTGAACTTATTCCCTTAGTAAAAGCATGAATCCACTTATCCCTGTGCTCTGTCCCATTATTCAGATTTCTTGATGAAATGACTCATCACTAGTGTACTACAATGATTGAAGAAGAATGATTAAATTTGGTGGCCATGTTCAATCCCTGGGCCGATTAGTACAGACATACACAGAGGAAACTAGACTAGAAATAACTGAACAGTACTTAAGACAGAGAAAATGAGAGATATCCCTAGACAGAGACAGTCAAACAATAACAGTCTACCCCTGTTGATTAAAGGAAGGGTTCAGTTTGAATTTCCTTAAAGGTTACTTGGATTGGCAAACACCTGAAGAAAGTCAGTTGGCACAATGGCAAAAGCATTTTGATAATAACAACAAAGATGAGAATAAGTAAATAACGGTAATCCTCATCCCAGAAATTAATACAAAAAAAATGAATAAGTGAGCACTTGGACA